CACTCTGCGCTTCTGAGAAGGAAGTTGAGGCGAAGAGCCACATTGGAGAGGTGGGGACTTAGGCTGCGTCTCCTCAAGAGTGAAGCCTCCGCGTAGGTTATTTAGAACTATTCTGCACAGATCTGTCTCTTCTCCCCCATGACGGATACTTAACCAGTCATGTTTATATATCAGGATGGACTCATGTTCCCTTTAAAATGTGGGATGAGTGTGGGGACAGGGAGGCCTGTGAGGGGCAGGTTCACCCATTTCCATGTGAAGGGTGCTGTTTTTGCATGTGATGCTATGTGGGAGGCCTTGGGCCTGGGATGGTGTGGAAGGGCCAGTGCAGGGGTCCGAGGGGCGCTTGGACCAGCATCCTGGCCTCAGCCAGCAGGATCAGCTCCTGCTCACTTGCCCAGATTTTATCTCCAGCATCTCCTTTATCCTCACTCCCCACACCCGGCTGGTCTTCCATCCCACCCCATCCCTGCATCCCAGCCTGGTTCAGCCAGTGTATGGCTTCCTGTGCCGATACCCATCCCCCACAGCCGGGGTGCACTTGCTGAGCCCCCAGTCGCCCTGTCTGGCCATGGCGTGGGCCTCTGTGAGCCGTGGGATGAGCCAGGCTGCCCAGGGGACAGTGGGGCAGGAGTGCAGCTGACAATATGATGCTGTTGTGCTAAACATCCTCTGACTTTTTCAGGGGAATCTAGAAATCCAGATTTTAAAAATGTGGAATCTCCTTAATGGCCCTTTCAGAATCAGCATCCTGTGTGCCAGGCTTATCCTGGGTCTCCAAGTGATTTTCCCCTTTGTCCCCCACTGTTTCTGACGTCCCCAAACCCCTCAGACAGCTGAGCTGATGTGTCGGGAGCTCGTCTCTGTATCTGCCACAAGGTTCTGGGCCATGTGCTTTCTGCTCAGGCCGTGTTTTTGGGCTGCAGACCTGGGGTGACAGCACAGCCTCTATGAGCCTCAACGTTTAGACCCAGCACAGCCTCTGCGATCGTAGTTGGAGCTGCTACACTTTTTCTTACACAGTGGAGCTCATCCTGGCGCTTCCTTGCAGTTTTAGAACCAGGAAGGACTTCTGGCACCCACGTGCTCCGGCGGCTGTTTGAGTGGTTAGACGTACAGTGTGGAAGGGTGTTTGAACTTCTGTTTTGGAAATTTGTTGTTTTGCCATGTTCTTGGTACTAGCTGACAAAACAATCCATACCTTATGCTCAACTGTGCTGGTTTAGATCTGGCTTTTCATCATTTTCCATATTGAATGACAATTCAATTCTGCTAGCTTCCACATATTGCACGAAGAACCTCAAAAGGCTTTTTCATTGTTTAATAAATGTCCACTGTTCAGGAAATTCATTGCAGAATTTAAATATGTGTTCCAACATTTAAACTTATATGTATGTTTTGGCATTTTGGGGTTCAAATAAATAGCTAATAATAGCTTACCCAGGCAAGGTAGTGCGTGTCTGTAGTCCCAGCCACTTGGGAGGCTGAGGCAGGAGAATTGCTTGAGCCTGGGAAGTCGAGGCTGCAGTGAGCTCTTTCTGTGTCACTGCACTCCCCCTGGGCTACAGAACAAGCCCCTGCCTCTTAAAAAAAAAAAAAACACCACAAGAGTGAAAAAGAAAGGTTAGGTTTGACCATCTCACAGCTGAGCTGCTTCATCTTTCACTTTCACTCACGTCCAAGTTCGTAACTGACCATAGACAGAGTTGAACTGTTGGAAGGATTGGGAACTTGTGAACTGATAATACATTTGTGAACCTCAATGATAACCACAGAGGGGGCCAGTTGCCGTGGCTCACACCTGCAATCCCAGCACTTTGAGATTACGAGGTGGACAGATCATTTGATGTCAGGAATTTGAGAGCAGCCTGGCCAATATGGCGAAACCCTATCTCTACTAAAAATACAAAAATTTTCCAGGCGTGGTGGTTCATGTCTGTAATCCCAGCTATTCAGAAGGCTGAGGCAGCAAAATCGCTTAAACCCAGGAGGCAGAGGTTGCAGTGAGCCAAGATTGTGCCACTGCACTCCAGCCTGGGCAACAGGGAGAGACACTATCTCAAAAAAAAAAAAAAAAAAAAAAAAAAAAGAAGAAACAAAGAGACAGAGAGAGCCTCTATACTTGGTAATAGAGTACTGCAGTGGGAATGTGTGTGCCTTAGTAAACTATCTGTGTATTCAGGGAGGTAAAAGAAGAGAAAGGTGTTTTTTGTTTTGTTTTGTTTTTGTTTTTTGAGACAGAGTCTTGCTCTATTGCCCAGGCTGGAGTGCAGGGGCCTGATCTTGACTCACTGCAACCTCTGCCTCCTGAGTTCAAGTGACTCTCCTGCCTCAGCTTCCCTAGTAGCTGGGACCACAGGCCCGCACCACCACGCTCGGCTAAGTTTTGTATTTTTAGTAGAGACGGGGTTTCACCATGTTGGCCAGGCTGGTCTCGAACTCCTGACCTCAGGTGATCCACTCACCTAGGCCTCCCAAAGTGCTGGGATTGCAGGTGTGAGCCACCGTGCCCAACCGGAGAAAGGTTTTTTTTTTTTTTTTTTTTTTGTGAGACAGAGTCTGGAGTGCAATGGCATGATCTTGGCTCACTGCAGCCTCTGCCTCCCAGGTTTAAGAGATTCTCCTACCTCAGCCTCTCAAGTAGCTGGGACCACAGGCATGTGCCACCATGCCTGGCTAATTTTTGTATTTTTAGTGGAGACAGGGTTTCACCATGTTGACCAGGATGGTCTCGATCTCTTGACCTTGTGATCCACCCGCCTCGGCCTCCCTCGAATTCTTTATGTATAGATTAGTGCCCTCCCTCAGGGGTGAGTGAATTCTCTGTCCACTGAAAGGTTCCTGCAAGAGCTGACTGTTAAAGAGCCTAGCATGCACTCCCACTCTCTTTTGCTTCCCCTCACCATGTGATCCCTGCAAACAGGCTCCCCTTTACCTTCTGCTATGAATGGAAGCAGCCTGTGGCCTGCACCAGAAGAGGAGCAGATGCTGGTGCTGTGCTTATTGTACAGCCTGCAGAACAACCACGAGCCAAAGAAACCTCTTGGCTATTCCACCTCAGGGTTCCTATACCGCACCACCACAGGGACTCAGACAGCCTTCACGTTTAAGTTGCTGTGTCAATACTGAGGTGATATTTCTGAACCAAAATATACATAAACATTATTGGTAAATTTATTCTAAAGTTTAAATTTGTGAGTGTTAATTTGTTTAAATATGATGTAAATGGAACCACTATTCATTATGTGTTTAACACCTTTACTGGAAACAAAATTACACTACACTGGGACAAAAAAAGTCCTGAGACAAATGAAAATGAAAATACAGGCCAGGCATGGTGGCTCACGCCTGTGATTCCAGCACTTTGGAAGACTCAGCAGGTGGCTCATTTGAGGTCAAGAGTTTGAGACCAGCCTGGCCAACATGGTGAAACCCCATCTCCGCTAAAAACACAAAAATTAGCCAGGTGTGGTGGCGCATGCCTGTAGCTAGGACAATTTTCAACAGAAATAAATACAAGCGGCAGGGACACTGGCTCACGCCTATAATCCCAGCACTTTGGGAGGCTGAGGCAGGTGGATCATGAGGTCAGGAGATCGAGACCATCCTGGCCAACATGGTGAAACCCTGTCTCTACTAAAAATACAAAAAAATTAGCTGGGCATGGTGGTGCATGCCTGTAGTCCCAGCTACTTGGGAGGCTGAGGCAGGAGAACAGCAGAATTGCTTGAACTCAGGAGGCAGAGATTGCAGTGAGCTGAGATTGCGCCACTGTACTACAGCCTGAACGACAGTGTGAGGCTCTGTCTAAAAAAAAAAAGAGAAAAAAAAGCAAGGCACCTAGATTAGAAAGAAGTGGGCCAGGCGTGGTGGCTCACTTGAGGTCGGGAGTTCGAGACCAGTCTGGCCAACATGGTGAGACCCTGTCTCTACTAAAAATACAGAAATTAACTGGGCATGGTGATGTGTACCTGTAACTCAGTGACTTGGAAGGCTGAGGCATGAGAATCACTTGCAACCAGGAGGCTGAGGTTGCAGTGAGCTGAGATTTCGCCACTGCACTCCAGCCTGGGCAACAGAGCCAGACTCCATCTCAGTAAAATAAAATGAAACAAAATAAGATAAAAAGAAAAAAGAAGTGGAACTGGAAAAGTTCCCTTATCCCCCTCACAGGGCATGCAATGGGGGTGTGGCTCCTTTGGTACCCCAACATTCAAACCTCCAGGAGGAGCATGCAGACAGGCAGGTTGTGTGTCTCCAGCTCCACTGCAGTGTCAAGGGGTGAATGTTTACAGCTCCTGAAGCCCCAGCAGAGTTACAGGGTGCACTTTTAGTTTAGCTGTCCCTAGGTGGCTTGTGCTGTCAATTCAACTAGACTCTCTGCCTTATTGCAAGGACAGAGGGCCTTCTGTATCCTGGAGCTTCTTGCTTTGGTGTACCAGAAGAGTCAGCTCACACGTGGGCTTGGAGAATGAGTTCGAGGTTCTATTGAGTGGAAGTTCTCATCAGATGGATGGGAGCCAGAAGGGAGACGGAGTGGGAAGGTGGTTTTCACCTGGAGTTGGGCAGCTCAGCAGCCTGGGATCTCTCCTACCACCCCAGCCAAACTCCGTGTCGTTTCTCAGGTGGATGACCTGCCGGCCTGCTGGCATCTGTCAGTGTGCTCTTCTGCCTGCATCCTCTTTATGTCCAGCCGCTGTATTTTCTTCTGCTGATGCGCTCCTCTCCACGTCCAGCCACTTGTGTCTCTCCCTGCTAGGGTCTTGGGGTTTTCATAGCATGAGATAGGGGCATGGCAGGCCAGGGTGGTCTTGGGAAATGCAGTGAGCCGAGATCTCGCCATTGCACTCCAGCCTGGGTGACAGAGTGAGGCTCCATCACTCACACACACAGACTCACACACACGCACACACGCACACACACACACTCACACTAACTCACACACACTCACACTCTCACACACACACTCACACTAACTCACGCACACACACACACACACTCACGCACACACACTCACACACACACACACACAGATGTTTGTTCTATAACAGCAACACATATCAGAACTTAAAAAAAAAAGGTTACTTAGTAATATAATCGACTGGTTGGCCCGCATTCGAATTTTCCCATTATTCTCACAATATGCCTGGTTGTCAAACCGATTTAATAAAGAACCAGGTTCCACGTCTGTCAGGCGGGTGGACCCCGATCCCGACCCATCCTCGGCTCCCGCCTGGAGCAGAACTTCCCGCCTGGAGCAGAACTTCCCGCCTCAGTACCGCAAGGTCTCGTGGGAAACGCAGTCTCGGCTTCCAATGACGTCACCAGCACACGACGGTGGGAAGGGCCTTTTGGATTCCTTTGCGCATGCGCCGCCCCGCCCACTTCCGCCGTCTTCCGCCTGAGAATCCCGCCGTTGCTGGCGTGGAGAGGCTGCTGTGGAGGCTCTGAGGTGGGTGTGTTCGTCCCTGCTGGTTGGTGGTAGGATGAAACAGGAACCCGCGGGCTTGGGGGCGCCCTAGGGAGACGGGACGGACGTGCCACAGTTGATGGGAGCAGAGGCGTGGGCGCATCCCGGGGTGGGCGGGACCCGACGTGCCCGTGAGTGCAGCGGCCCCGGGCGGGGGCTGGAAGGGCGGCGCTGTTGGGAGGGCGGGCGTGGGGTCCCGGCTCTGAAGCCAGTTCCGGAGCCCCGGAGAGGGGGGCTGAGGCCGGTGGCGCGGGGCCGGGGTCTGCAGGCCGCTGGAGCCTGGAAGGTCTGCGGGGGGCCGCGCTCCGGCGCTGCGTGGACCGTGTCCGTGCGCCCCCCGAAAGGTCGCATACGGACAGTTTTAGGGAGATGCCCCTGGTTCCCACAGCAGCGCGCGCACAGCGTCTGTGCGACTTGGCGGTTGTGTTAGTGGGGTTTCCCAGTGTCTCTTCAGCAAGTGAAGATTCTGCCGTGTCACCTTCCTACCCGTCCCGTTCCCACTTTAGTTTATAGGGGTTTATACAAGATTTGGTTTCTAGGGAAGATGGGGTCTCAGATGATGGTCCTGTTTTCTTTGTAGTAAAGTAGGTGTTACAAAGTTTGGACCAGGGCACCCTTTAGGAATCCCATCCAAACACCCTTCTGGACTCTCTCTCTCTCTCACTGGTACCTCAAAGCAGAGGAAGTGTTAAGGTGAAGAGCCCAGCTTGTATGACCCAAGCCATTATTTTCCCACTCCTCAGAGTGCTCAAGGTTTGGTTGATAATACCTTATCCAGTAGCTCTCAAAGACTGGGTGGTAGCAGAAGGTTTGGACCAACATTCAGAAGGAAGAGGCGAATTTGGCTGAGAATGACAGGCAAGGGCCAAGGAGATGTTCCTTATTGGAGGGGACTTAACAGTGGTCTTAGGTGGAAAAATAACCTGTTATACCTGAGAGGCTCTGTTTGGAGTACTCTGTAAAGACACTTTCATTCCTTCAGCTTTTTCTCAGTGTTTCCAGTGTCTGAGCTTTCTTCAAAGTAGTCTAGGCTGAGTGTGGTGGTTCACGCCTGTAATTCCACGACTTTGGGAGGCCGACGTGGGGGTAATCACCTGAATTCAAGAGTTCGAGACCAGCCTGGCCAACATAGTAAAAACCCCATCTCTACTAAAAATACAAAAATTAGCTGAGTGTGGTGCGCACCTGTAATCTCAGCTACTTGGGAGGCTGAGGCAGGAGAATCACTTGAACCCGGGAAGCGGAGGTTGCAGTGAGCCAAGGTCTCGCCACTTCACTCCAGCCTGGACGACAGAGTGAGACCCTGTCTCAAAAAAAAAAAAAGCAGTCTAGACAGAGACAGGAGGATCACCTGAGGTCAGCAGTTCAAGACCAGCCTGGCCAACATATGGTGAAACCCTATCTCTACTAAAAAATTAAAAAATTAGCTGGGTGTGGTGGTGCACACCTGTAGTCCTAGCTACTTGGTAAACAGGCAAGAGAATCGCTTGCATCCCGGAAGTGGAGGTTGCAGTGAGCCGAAATTGTGCCAGTCTACTCCAGCCTGGACAACAGAGTGAGACTTCGAGTCTTAAAAAAAAAAAAAAAAGGTCTATCACCAAATTCAGCATCTAGTGATATGCCGAAGCTCCCTCTATCCTCATCCTGTTAGTTCAGTAAGGGTTTGCCAAAGTATTTCTACCTTATGAGAAAGATGAAAAAAATTTGGCTTTGAGGAGCTGTGACATATCAGGGTCACATGATATATAGATATTATGCATCCTGACTTTTTGGCTGGTGTTATTCATTTTGCCTCAAGTCAAAACTGTTTCCTTTTGAAATTTTTGTTGACACTGAAGCTAAGAACAAACATTGCTTTAAAGTACTTTCCCAGCCCCTCCTCGCCTGCCCACCCCTCCCTCCACAAAAAAATTAAAGTACTTTCCCTTGCCATTGGGAGGCCAAGGCAGGAGGATTGCTTGAGCCCAGAAGTTTGACAATAGCCCGGGCCATACAGGGAGACCCTATGTATTAATTAAGAAAAAAAATTAAACATTTAGCTGGTTGTGGTGGTATGCACTTGTGGCCCCAACTGCACTTGAGCCCAGGGGGCAAAGTTATAGTGAGCTGTGGTTGTGCCATTGCATTCCAGCCTGGGTGACAAAGTGAGACTCTGTCTCAAAACCAACCAGCCAACAAGAAACATTTCCTTAACCATCACTATTCTTTTTATCCCCAACTCTTTTTGTGAATTATGTGACCTCAAGGGTAGATAACACAAGTGTTTCCTACTTAGTGTCAGTAATCTGAAATTATAAATTCTGTAGGAAAACAATAGCATATTTTATGTATTTAAAAACTGTGTCCCACTTCTACTCCAAACCAATACCTTAAAATGTAAGTAGAATACAGCACAATGCTCACTTGTAAGAGATCCTTTTTGTGTATTTTGTGTTTTAAAGTCAACAGATTTTTTTTTTTTATCATGTAAAGAACCTCAAAACACAGTTTACTGATATGCAAACAGTTGTTTTTTATGATTCACACCATCTCCTGGCACCAACGGTCTCACTGATTTCCATGAAGTTGGCATTTATTGTGATTTGCAAAACTTCTACATGAGGTTGTGATGTTCTAATGATAGTATTTGACAAGTAATTTCACATTAGCTCCTTCACATGGTTGTCTTAAAAATACTGCATTCTGTGGGAGGCAGAGGTTGCAGTGAGCCAAGACTGCGCCACTGCACTCCAGCTGGCGCCTGTCAACAGAGCAAGACTCTGTCTCAAAAAAAAAAAAAAAAAAAAATTGCGTTCTGGTGGCTTAGGTTTATCAGTGTTCTCTGTGAAAAGAACCAACCAAAACTCACTGGCTTAAAAAGAAACAACTGTTTTATTTGATTGAGGTTCTACTGATTCACATTTTGGCATGTGTTCACCTGGGCATTTCCTATGCTAATGTTGTCTGGATCATAAATGAAGCTTTAGTCATCTGGTGCCTTTACTCACACGTCTGGTGGTTCATGCTGACCCTTGTCTAAGAAGGGAAGTACCAGTAGGCAAGTACTTTTCCAACCTGTATTTTCATCATATTTTCTAATGTCACATTTGGCCAAAGCAAGTCAAATGGCAAAGCCCCATTTGTTATCAGCATACTATATGAGGTCTTAGATACAGGGAGACATATAATTAGGAAACATTACTAAAACAGTGTATCCCAAGAAATATACAATATGTACGTTTTCACCCCTATATAATATAATTGTGGGCAAAGAATGTTGGCTTGCAAGATGCATACTTTCCATGATGCTTAGGTATATTAAAAAAAGCAAGATGTGTTCTAGTGGAAACACCTATATGAAATCAGGTAGAATCTCTTTATTAGCAGTGAAATAGTTAATGCAGCGCAAGTATATTTTATAATATTAATTTTACTGAAGACTAAATGTATCTTTCTTTGGTTTAAATTGTTAAATCGTTTCTTTGGGTAAATTAATTGTTCCTAAATCAGTAGGTAATACATGTTTTCATTAACCCAAAAATAAATCATATGTATCTCTACCAGTTAATGTACTTGTGGGTACATCTTCAGCAGGGTATTTGTTGCCCCTTATTGAGGCATGAATGACTGTCTGTCACAGGGAGGTTTTTTTTTTGTTGTTTTAGTCTGTTCCAGCTATTGTGTAGAGGGTTTTGGGCAGGATAATCTAGGACCAAGCCACACCAGTTCTCTCTTAATCCACTCCATTCGATTTTTCTCCCAGCTATGCTTCCAGAGTACTTTGTGCATTTCCAAGATCAACAATGAATAAGTCTCTGGTGAGTTACTTGTTTATATATGTCTCACTTTGTTTTACATTGCATTTTTTGCCTTTATGGAGTCCATGGATTAAAATGGAAAAATAAAAATAAGTAAAATTCATTTTAAAGGAAATGCACATAAATAAAATAATGCTGGTGGGCTGGGTGCGGTGGCTCATGCCTGTAATTCCAGCACTTCGGGAGGCTGAAGTGGGTGGATCATGAGGTCAAGAGATCGAGACCATCCTGGCCAACATGGTGAAACCTAGTCTCTACTAAACATACAAAAATTATCTGGCATGGTGGTGCTTGCCTGTAGTCCCATCTACTTGGGAGATGAGGCAGGAGAATCACTTGAACCCAGGAGGCAGAGGTTGCAGTGAGCTGAGATTGTGCCACTGCACTCTAGCCTGGTGACAGAGCGAGACTCCGTCTCAAAAAAATAAAATAATGATGGCGTGTAGACATATGCAGGTTAGAAGCCATTGAACTTGACTACAAATGTGTGTCTGGTCTCTCTGATGCTGCATCAAAAAGGCAGTCACATTTGTTACATGATTGGAATGGAACCTGCAAAGAGTATGTGCTGCATTCTCGTGAGACAGGCAGACTTGCTGGCACCAAAGTCTGGAACACTTAACTTCATTTGTCACAGAGATGACATAGTGGAAAGTTTTTTTACTATCAGTCTGGAAATACACACTTGTAGCATTTGGCAGTAGAAGTAGTCACTTAGTACTAAAGCACAACTTCCATGATGAGGTTTTTCTGGAGTTGCAAGAACAGTGTGGTCCCAGACAGCTTTTGGAAGGCCCTGCTTGATTCATGGCTGAAACCTAGAACATCTGCAGGATTGAGTTGACCACAGGTCCTTACATAACCCCCCGATACATTTCTGTCAGTTCATCTGTACATATAGAATTTGTAGCAGATTGTTCACTATTACATTTTCTGACAAATATTTCCACTGCTCACTTACTCTTTCATTTAATATAGTCTTAATTGATTTATTTTAATGCTCACCATTAGCATACATTATACGCAAATCCAGTGGCTATTCTCTGTTCTGCCTTACTTGAATCTTGTGGGGTACAGTAATCCCCCTTATTTACAGTTTCGCTTTCTGTGGTTTCAGTTACGTGTAGTCAACTGCAGACAGAAAATACAGTAAGATATTTTGAATATCTTGAATATTTTGATATT